ATAATTGTACAAAATCTAGTATCAAGTAACATATATAAACTCTATTACATTAAAAACATGAAAAGCAAAAATATCATTTTGGAAAATAACCCATGTTTCAGGCCACAAAACATATAACTGTCTACAGAATGGTGAGCATTGCCTATTCTATCACTATAAAGACCTCCAATAGTCATAAACAACTAATACATAGTTTTGTGATATTTTTTAACTATAATATACTATAATTAACTATAAATTGCACAATTTTTAAAATTTATATTTTATCATTATTTAATGATATGATATTGAAATAAACAATGCAAAACTGTCATAATGATTTATAATGTTTGATGTGATAGCATTTGTTGTAAAGAAAACAGTACAAACACATAAAAGTTACACCAAGTGTAAAAGACCAATGCAGCAGTATTGTGTTACCATGGTGATACAAGTAAAAATATAAAATAAATAGTTTTAGCACTGAACAGGAAATGATATGCTAAATTTGTCATGGAAGACGACAATGTACCTTTATAAGTTCCCACTAAACCCAACCACCAAAATATCATTTTTATACTTTTCCATAAAACAAAGTATCTCTCATGAGTAAGCTATAGTGAGAGCCTTTTTCACCAGTCACATTTACATTGTGAGATCGAAACTGGTGCACACAGACCGCTGCCCAGTCTCACCATCGGCTCATATCATCCCAGGGTCAAGACTGCCCACTGGTCAGCGTCATGGCAACCAGACATACACAAGTCATTGACCATGTAAACAAATAAACAAACATACAAGATGCTATCATCCATGCTACATTCACTACTTATAAATATTCATCAACTTCAAAATGTACATACAGTAAGACGACACATTGTTTTCTTCTTTCTAGAGAAGCTTGACCTGAAAAAAAATTCAAAACTATTGTCTACACTCAAACATTGAGGTTACTTTCTGGCCTTGTATACTTACTGAAAAACCAAGTCAGTAAAGGTTTTACGCCGCTTTTAGCAATATTCCAGCAATATCACGGCGGGGGACACAAGATATGGGTTACACACATTGTATCCATGTAGGGAATCGAACCTGGGTCTTCTGTGTGAAGGGCGAACGCTTTAACCACTGGGCTACCCCACTCTCCCAGAAAAAAAGAAGGAAAAATGAGAAATAACGGATGATATGGTGTAGTGACTATTTTTGAAAAGTCCTTGGTGAAATGGCACAGCATCACATAAATTCACCATGGCGTCATAAACATCTGTATCTACATGGTGTCATCTACAATTATTTGCGATAACGTGTTCATGTCAGGTCCGTTTGAGGCAACTAACGGGTGGTAAGGCTCGCTGACCCGGTTGACATGTCATCGTATCCCAATTGCGTAGAACGATGCTCATGCTGTTCATCACTGGATTGCTGGTCCAGACTCGATTATCTACAGACTGCCGCCATATAGCTGGAATATTGCTGAGTGCGGCGTAAAACTAAGCTCACTCACTTACTCAGTTATGTCAAGTCACATTGCTATGATAATTTCACCAATGTCCATGACCATATGGGTAATATACTACAGACTTTCATTGCCCCTGAACACATAACACCGTGGTACGGCAAAAATGCATGTGTATTTCAGTGAAGAGATGAAATGAGGCTGTGTACATTTCATGGAAGTCCAATGAGCATGACTTAGACTTGCACAAGTCTCTAAGGTAAAAATTAATAGTTTAGGCCAGACGAATTTTATTTCTTTTTTACGGATTTTTGTCCTCAGAAAACCTAAAGGCAGGAGGGTAAAAAAAAAAAAAAAAAAACACCAATCAAAGTAATATTCCTTCTAAATACTAAAAGAATTTTACTTTGGGCAATTTATGAAGTGTATATGGGGCAAAAAACAATCTACAAATATTTTTCTTGTAAATTTACATTTTTGGCCAATAAAATCATTAGCATTTTATTTTATGAGGGGGAAATTTAATTTTTATTTTTATTATTCTTGAAAAAAATCTGACAGGTGGATCTGTAAAGCAAGAAATAAAATTGGTCTGGCCTTAAATGATAATTTAGACTGGAAATGATAACAGCAGACTGGGGTCTTTGGATTATTTTTATGTCCGCTTATCTAGATTTGCCTCCTACATGATAGAATTACTATACATCAATGGGCTTAGCCTTTAGTACAGCCTTTGAGCATGCTAAGCATGACTGTGTTTTGATTTTGTCAATAGAAGCGGCAAGATGGTGGCACAAAGTGACAACTGATCTTGAAGTATTCTAGTTTCCTTCCCGCAGGAACTTGGTCAAAACTAGTGACTACACATCAAAACTTCCATTTTCTCATTTTATGCTGGAAAGTTGTCCGCGTTACTGTCAGAAGAACTACAGTTGTAATTTAGAAACGCTTAATACTACTTTCCTTCCAACTTTTAATCTAAATTCTTTTAGAACACCCAAGCCTAACACATTTTTGTATCATTGTATATTAGAGCTTTCCTACATCAAGTTCCTAATAAATGCTATTTCACAGACAACTACTTACATTTAACCACTGTTGCCAAGTCACAAATATGACCTGTTGTGATAATTTGAAAAAAAATACTTTTAACAACATTGTACATAAAAATATGAAACACGTTAACATGAGTATATTGAAACCTTCATCACTGATGAAGATGCAGTATTTTCCGTTAATACTCCAGGTGCCATCTATTCTATTACGACGACTTTCACATATAAGGTATATGACCGAGCACCGTTACTAAAGACTTCTATGGTAGGGCATTCATTCATTGTATGTTGGGTAGTTGTAAAGACGGCAGCATACAGTATATCGTATGTGAAAATCGGTACAAAAATATCAATAAAATATTCTGGCTCATATCACACCATCCTTGTTTTTCAAGGAAATAATATCTCTATTTTATCATAAATGCTAACTACCGGATCTACGGCCAACACAGCCTTGTTTCAAAAAGTGACATCACCATCCTGATCTCTCCGATTAGCACAGAATGTCAGAATTTGTCTCCAGAATGTAACGTGACAGAAATATGGCCTCATTATCATGTAAACAGAGCAGGGCTAAAAAGGACGCCACGGAAGAAATGGGTCCAGGGTGTTTATTCATATAATGGGGAAAGAAACCCTGGATTATCGAGGATGTCACACTGAAACTTGTCATGTTGCTTAACACATGTTTACCATAATAAATTTTTTAAAAATAGAAAAGAAAAATAATAAATAAACCCTACAAATATAGCCTGTATATGAATTCAATACCTGATTTGACAATAAAAAAACAACTAGTCAAAGTCCAGTGAAGTCTTTTTGCAGTGCATAAACAAGGGTCTTCAATCTACATTAAGTCAGATATTTTTATACTTGATAAAGAAAGAGAGACAGATTTATAATATGAAACCATATTGGCTGAGAGAACATTAGGAGGTTCCAACAAACAGAGACTTCTGATTGGCTTATTTTGGGACTACTATCGGGTATTCCCAATTCTATTTATAGTAACTCATGTAAATACCATTTATCATCACACCTGTCATGGAGTCAATATGTGTTTCTATCAAATGACATGCAAACGCTTCTAGGTCCAGAAATATGGTGAAAAATGTAAGTAAAAGTGTCATTCACCATTCCAACTTGGGCTTAACACAGCAATGCTCTCGGAAATATAAGGCCACTTTTTCTCTCCATGTCTTCGCTGTTATCTATCATCAACCACTGGTGCAATTCATCAACCAAACATGATACCTCAGTTGATACAACAGAATCTGTATCGGTACATATAGATTCAACAATCAAGCTAACTGATGTTTATCAAATCTAGAACCGACACACTTTCATCATTGGACTTATTGAGAAGTTCAATCTCATCACATTCATTCTTAAATTGATATGAATATGATATAATAAAAACAACACTTTGTTTATTTGTACACAAGTCAAAATACTAAATGCATTGTAGAAAAAAGAATGGTCATACATATTTCAGCTATTCAGGTTTCTTGTACATAAAATAGATATGACATAGAGTATGATACTACAAACGGTTCAAGAGGTGAAAATGTGACTTATTAAAATATTTAGATAAACCAATAGATTGCTAACTTGAATATTTTGAAATTTAGAAATTATGTTCACAAAATAATTATTTGCAATATATTCATCATTCTTGACAACAAATTTTACAAATGATATTATTTGACAAATTTACATATAATCTTTCAATCGTTCATTATCATTACTTTCTGTTGATGCTGACCAGGGTTTTACCTCAACTCACAAAAATGGGGGTCCCAGGAACACCTAATTATTATTTTGAAGGTCCTTGCGGGCAAAGCGAGGGTCTTGTAACAGTGTACAGAACTGTACCTTTCAATAATTTTTTGAGAGCTTGAAATGAATCACTGATCATGTGGACTTACATATGAAATGATGCACACAACTGCTTTGAAAGAAACAACCAAACCCATATCAAAGTCAGAGATGTGTTGTGAGTACAGAGTCCATTCTTTCCATTTGTGAGTACTGGACACACCAGTCTAAGTAAACATAGGCTCAGTATTCTTCGTTACACTGCTATACTGAGTCTAACAAAAACTTGTGGAAGGTCGCGTCAGATGACCTTTTCAATGGACCAATCAGAACACAGCTTACAGAGTTTTGTACCCGAAAGAGTACCCGAACGATTCCGAATGCTATTTTCCGTGCTTCCGAGTGATGCACATGGAGCACGCCACAAGAGCGAGTAAACAGTCGCTGAGAATAGCGTTTTGTCAGTATTCAAGGATGTCAGCTTGCGGAAATATTAACTAATGATAGCCATGTCAACAGAAACCCAAAAGTGTATATTCTGCAGGTCATATATCTGTGTTTTATGCGGGTTTTCATTTGTTATGAGATCAGAGTTGGCGACCGGGGAAGAGAAAATCAGTTTTGTAAGTCCCGCCAAACCCTAAATAGTAGCTGTTGTCTGATTGGTTAAATCCGTTCGGCCGTCTCGCGTTTGATTGGACGGTCATAGGTCGCTCAAAGGTTACCTGACGCGACCTTCCACAAGGTTTTGTTAGACTCAGTATAGCAGTGTAACGAATAATACTGAGCCGCAGTTTACTTAGACTGTGGACACACGTACCTTTGTGTGTCACGTAAAACCCTGCTGATCTCTCATGTGTTTTTGAATATTTGAACATTTTGATTAAGTCGAGCCTTTATCATTTTACTTTCATATTCGCTAAAAAAGACCAACATATATCTTCTGAAGCACCAGTGTTATCTTGGATGAAACAAGAATGATGTGTGTCAGTCTATTCCAAGATGGCCGACAAATTCAACATGGCTGCTTAGTCCTCTTTCTTATTCTTTGAATTTATCAGGAAGAGTGGAATGAGGAGTGATACAGCTCCCGATATTGTAACACCAGTGGTCTCCAAGGAGCCAGAAAACTGAAAATAAAGCCACATGCCATTTAATATATTAAAACTTGATTTGCAAACTGAAACATGAGGTGTCTGTGAGTATTTGCAATACCAGAAGTTACCCCTTTACCACTGTTTCCTCAATACATAAAAAGTAATGAGTAAATCCAGTCCCAAAACATTTCTCCTAGATCAGGTGAGTGAGTGAGTGAGATTAGTTTAGTTTTACGCCGCACTCAGCAATATTCCAGCAATATGGCGGCGGTCTGTCAATAATCGAGTCTGGACCAAACAATCCAGTGATCAAAATCATGAGCATCAATCTGCATAACTGGGAACCGATGACATGTGTCCACCCAGTCAGTGAGCCTGACCACCCGATCCCGTTAGTTGCCTCTTACGACAAGCATGGGTTACTATAGATCAATTCTAACCCGGATCTTAACGGGTCCCTAGATCAGGAACATAAATATGACAACTATTTAAAATCCCACAGTTACCAAGCTATTACAGTTGAAAGGACAGCCAAATCTGGCGAGTTAGTGAGTTGGTATTAGAGTCGATATGAGTGAGAATGGTTTAACACCGCTCTTAGCAATATTCCAACAATGTCATGGTGGGGAACACCAGAAATTAGCTTCACACATTGTACCCATGTACAATCGTAACCAAGTCTTCGGCGTGATGAGCGAACACTTAGACCACAAGGCTACCCCACTGCCCAGAGCTAAAATGAACAATATTCCAGTTTGGTATATCACACCATGTCACCTCGCTGTGTGAAGAAAGGACACAGTGATGTAGTCTCACCCATTTACAACAACTTACTACAGTCCGTTTGATTTCATTTGAGATGGATGAATTGCTCACTAACACAAAATATAATAATTTCAACAAAACCAAATTTTGAACATGAAATCAACAGACCAATTCTGATGATTTGTGTCATAATTTTGGACACCCGAATAAAAAAGTTGTTTAACAAATGATCATTATTTTGTTGTCTGTTTCACTATTTTCTAGAGGGGGGACCACTTGATGGTAGAACAGCTAGGTTAGAAACAAGCATGTGTAGTGAAATTACAATTTCTCTTGGTAAAATAATAGTTTTAGATATTAAATTTTACTGATCACTGCGTCAGAATTTATCCTGTTATATTATTGGGTATTTGTGTATGTTTTAACTAAATCACCTGTAGATTGCGGGGAAACGTCTGCACAGGTGATTGCTATTTCCGGCTTTATATACGGGACAATACACACAGTAATCTTAATCTCTGCATATAATACAATGCCTAGCAAAAACAAATTAGAACTGGAAAGGTAAATAATCTTGTCTAGTGATGTTTAATTGCAAATTTGACTCCCTCACTGACAAAGTCGTTTGCTCTTGTTTGTTCACACGAAACGATACCATGTTGTTTTCTTACTGGTCACCAGAAATAAAGCTTGTCGAAAGTGTTAGTTATAGATAACCCGCTGCTTTTTTTGGTCTTTAAAAATCAACTTATCCACGGTAATATACAGTACTTGCAGAGAAGGGGAGAGGTCTTGTGGTATTGGCTAGAGACCCAAGGAAAGGAATGTTGTTAAGACTTACTGGAAGAGAAGAGGAGAGGTCCTGTGGCGCGGGCTAGAGCCCCGAGTGAGCGGAAGATGCCCATGATGATGCCCTTCTGGTCATCCCCACCGTGGACTGATATCATGGTCGTCATGCACGGCACAACAGTAGCTGAGGCTGGGAACAGAATACAAAGATCAGTGAACTGGTCATCTACTATATCATCAACATCATTCTTATTATTTCTCTTTATTTCATCATCATCATCATCATCATCCCTGCCTTTGCAAACATCATAACATTGTTAAAATTAGTTGAGTGAAAATAGATTAACGTAATGTAATGTGTTAAAAACAGGGTAGATCTTGTTATTTGCAATAGAGTGGCTGCAAATAAATGAAACGCTCATAAAATATCAAGCCTCATTTCTAGATTTGTTCCTTAGTACAAAGTGACAAACACAATATTTTAGTTATCTGCTTTTTACTTAAGTGGTGGTGGTGGTGGAATTGGGTTTAAACTTGAGAATATTTCAGCCATATGACGTGCATCGTGTATGTGTATGTGCGGCTGCTATGTACTAGCACAGACTGAAGCTGGTTTTATAGTGCTAGCCCACTGAGATACCATGCTGCAGTGAAGCATTTCACTCACCACATTATACTGACTCGGAGGACCAGTCCTTGTTTGTACCAATTAATGCCGAAAGCCACAAAGGGACCAACTAGTATTTGTAACGGTATGAAGCCGGGATTAATTACAAAAGGGACCTTCCAGGTGGAGTAACCATACACCATAAAGTCCGGTCCTTTCACTTAAGTACCCTACAAATACACTAAATTTGCAATTTATTACAAAAGGAAAGTCCAAGATATCCATGACATTTATTGGACAACAATAGTTAGGAATTACTGAATACTGATCTATTCATTCATTGACACACTGATAAAATATCAATCATAAAAATACCAATATTCCTAACTTATTTTGTCCAGTATATGTTTTAGTTTAATCTTTTGCAAGATTAATTTGAATCTGACAATAATAATTTTGGCTGTTTCCTTCAACAAACAAACAAACAATGGTTTGGGTTTTGATTTTTGTAACCACAACCAAACAAAGCCAAAGAAAGAGACTTACCAAATGCAAATAGCGGGAATACAATCATGTTGTACATTTCCCAACGTGAAATTCCCAGGATGAGGAATGCTGGGATTAGAAGAAGCATTCCCCTTTTCGCCACAGACCTCTCTCTTCCCGCCTTCACTTTCCGTGTGTAACAGCCTGAAATGCATTTAGTATATAGTTGATTGCTTATTGCAATAATCATCACTACTGGTAAACATACGCTCTCGTAACCTTCATTCGTGGATATAACTGACTGAGTGAGTTTGGTTTTACGCTGTTTTTAGCAATATTCCAGCAATATCACGGCGGGGGACACCAGAAATGGGCTTCACAAATTGTACCCATGTGGGGAATTGAACCCGGCCTTCGGTGACAAGTTTAACGCTTTATTCACTAGGCTACCCCCACTCGTGGATATAAGGGAAGTGCAGCAAAAATCATATATTAAATGCACGATTTCATTTTGTATACTCACTGATTATTGTTATTAGAGTGTTTTTTGTAATTTGTAATATCACATTGATTATGTCATAGTTATTATGGATCACAATGTTTAAAGTTTTGAGTGTGGGTTTTGGCTCGCATCTCGCATCATATGTGTTCAATGGCCATAGTTTTGGCACGCCTTTTTGATAGCGCTTCAGAGTTGCCTCCCTTGGCTGGCTTGTTTATTTTGTTCCGGCTTTCATCATGTTGTGTGTTCGAGAAAATCCTGTAACGTTCTGAGAGGATGATGATGGAGCCAAGCCTTGCTAGAATGCTCGAGAACTGTGTAAGATCAATATGGAGGCTGGTTGTTGAGTTGTGCGGCACGGCACTTTCACATAACTGGATTTATATACATCTGTCTGCCACCATTAAGCCGATCAACGTTTCAAGATTGAATGATCGTCTATTCTATTCAACTGCTGTCATTGTAAACAACCTTCATTCAGTATATCTGTTCTAATTGTAAATGTCAAGACTGGTGAGTTTAATATTTTATATTTGTGACCCAATATTTTATATTTGTGACTCAATTGCATTGTACTAGAAATCTGTATTGTCATTCATTGTAGCTTGCACATTGTTTGTTCAATATATTATTGAATATTTTAGACTTGTGTGTGTTCTATTTTGCTGGTTCAAAGGGCACTCTTAAACCTTTTGTCAGGGCAAATTATTAACCGTAACATTATTTTATTAATTAATTCAGCAAATTGAAAATGCCTAATATTCCAATTGTGAATGAAACATTTGTTTACCGAAGCCATTCACAATTATCACCCATTAGGTATGCCCACAAGATGTGGCGTCAACTTGTTTCGTGGGTTACGTTGTTGGTTACTAAATATCACTATGTCACGACAGCCCATTGCAGTAAGTATTGACACCTAGGAAAGCAGACGACGAGATGTGAGAAGGTTTGTGCTAAGGGACCATTCATAATTTATGGCTTTGTGTGTGTGTGTGTGTGTGTGTGTGTGTGTGTGTGTGTGTGTGTGTGTGTGTGTGTGTGTGAGTGAGAGAGAGAGAGAGAGAGAGAGAGAGAGAGAGAGAGAGAGAGAGAGAGAGAGAGAGAGAGAGAGAGAGAGAGAGAGAGAGAGAGAGAGAGAGAGTGAGAGAGAGTGAGTGAGAGAGGAGTGAGAGAGTGTGAGAGAGAGAGAGAGATGATGATTTTAGGGGGTTCACCCATTTTGTTCAGGGGAGCTAGGGGGTCAGCAATTTTGTACACACGAACTAGGGGGTCAGCAATTTTGTACATTAGAATATGTTTAAAATTATGCTTAGAAATTATGGGAAGGGAGGGTCATTGATTTTGTACATAAATTTTTTGGGGAAGGAAACATTCACATTGTACATTCTTCTCCATAAAAATCATCACCACCACCCCTAGCCAAAAATTATGAACAGTCCCTAACGGTATCTTTTTTACTTGACAATTTGTAAAAATAATATTTGATATTAGTGGCATTTGTGATCTTGCGCTATTTATGTCAGCGCTGGACAATTAGATTTAGTGTACTTACGTGTAATAAAGAGATTCGGAACATTTTGTCAGCAAGAAGTAGCATTGTATATGTACATCAAAAGTACCGCTTTCAGACGTCATATAAGATTTAATTTACGAGATAGCATGTAATTACTGTGATCCATGAATCAAGGTTATCCACAAATTTAGGTTACGGTTCTGTATATGAGTGTTGCGGGAAAAGTTTTAGGTTTCACAGAGACGGAATCCCTAAAAGTGAAATGTGTTTTGCTGTGGACAAACATCACATGGAGTTATTGAGGTCAGTGTGAGAGGATGTTTTCAGAATGACTTTGTACAGGAATTAGAGTTATCTCCCCTTGTATTCATGAACATGGCCTACTTGATCATGATAGATGTATCTTGGACAAGTTTCTAGACAGCGAACTGTACAGAAGAGCAACAAGGTGTAGATTCGAGGTCTTTTATAACTGACAGACAACTAATCTACCAGCAAACTAGTTTGGATGCCTTTTTGAAAATACCACATTTCTGCCAGCTTCCTACCAGGTCAGAATTTGTCTTCAGTAACCCATGCTTGTTGTACCAGACGACTAGCGGGATAGGGTCGTCAGGCTGCTGGCGTGGTTGACACATGCCATTGTATCCAATTGCGTCGATCGATGCTCATGCTGTGGATCACTGGATTGTCTGCTCCAGACTTCGATAATTTACAGACCGCTGCCATATCGCTGGAATATTGCTGAGTCGCGTTACACAACAAACCAACCAATCCACAGCTATACTGGATTTGAGTACTGTTTACTTACTGATGTTATAATATAGTTCGGTATAAACTGTAAACTTCATGACAATAGATAATACTCATTGTACATTGGTTAGGGACCGTTCATAATTTATGGCTAGGGGTGGGTGTGTGGGGTGTGTGGGAGGGGTGATCATGATTTTTATGGAGAATCATGTACAATGTGAATGGACACCCCCTCCAAGATTTGTGTACAAAATCAATGACCCCCTTCCCATAATTTTTAAGCATGATTTTAAAAATATTTTCATGTACAGAATAGCTGACCCCTGCAACATGTGTACAAAGTTGGTGACCCCCTACCTTCCCAGAACAAAATGGGTGCCCCCTACCTTCCCAGAACAAAATGGGTGCCCCTCAAAATCACCATCACCATCAAAACAAGCCATAAATAATGAGCGGTCCCTTATTATCAGTATCCTTAGCAAACACAGAGTAGTACATGTGAGCAGACCTACCTTGTACTAGGAACATGATGACACCGATCATTAAAAACATCTTTGCTTGTCCCCGGCTGAAAGAAAAAATATCCATGTGATAGTCACTGAAAAACGTTTTAGTCTCACAGAACTTTTTGTTCAAATTTGAGACCGAAAATATTATAAATACACATTGTATCTGCAGTGAAATGTCTAAAAAGTTGACAAGCTCTGATTGTAATATTAATTCTATTCAACCAACCACAATGCACCACACTGTCCATTTCATATCATACTGCCTTCATGTCACACAGTGCTTGTTTCCAGCACAGAGGCTAAATGAACTTGTGTACTCACTGGTGGAGCAGAGGGACCCTTTAACACCATGAACACATAGTGCAAGCGTTTCAGTACAGGGCATGCACAACTTGACCTACTTGTTGTATCCGAACCGGAAGGTCATGAGGAAGGGCAAGGTGAACTCAAGGCCGGAGTAGATGAACATGTACAGGAAATAGACAAAGCCGATTCTCTGTATGGACCTCTTACCTGTGGACAAAAAACACTTGAATATTACTTTACATCATTCAATAATTTTATTGATTTATTACTGAGGGGATGGGGGGAAGGAGGGTCAAAACGTTTAAATCAGTCATTTACAGGGGTAGTGGGGTAGACAAGTGGTGAAAGTGTTCACTCATCACACTGAAGACAGAGGTTCGATTCCCAACGAAGTTCCATGTGTGAAGGTTATTTCTGGTGATATTGCTGGAATATTGCTAGAAGCCGGAGATAACACCACTCATCCACTCATGTACGGGAAAATGACCCCCTTGTAATGGTTTTAAGGTAAGATACTTTATGAATGACAACTACTTGATTACATTATGATAGAACCTTTTGGTAAAGAGTTTTGTACCATAAGGAACTAGGGCTTCAGCGAGTCCATTTTTTGGACTCGAGAGTACTCGAGGGTGAAACTTCGACTCGGACCCGAAATTTACTTTTCGAAATTCATACCTTTCAAGCAAGCGATCAATTGTCAAGATAGTTACCTAATCATTTTAAAGTCAAATCTCAATCGATGTATAATATTTACTCTCATCTGCAGACTTGTAACAAATAATACCATACAACCACACCATGTGAGAGTAAACTATTTAATCTAGGTGTTAATAAAAAACATTATCACGATGGGTTAAAAGAATTCAGGGTACATAGAACTCAGTATATGGTGTCAATGGCTATCAGTATTCTTTCCTCCTCAACCTCTACTGGAGCTCCACAGGACTGTGTTCCTTCATCCATTACTCTTAAGTTTTGTATACCAATGACTGTTACTTGTCAATATATGACTTGTTTACTGTGAAATTTGCATATGACGCCACTGTTACTTGCCTAATTTCTGATTCTGAACATTATTATCGTCAAGGCATTGACAAAACCGTAATGACAGTTATTTATCAAACCTTTATTCAAAGTGTGTTGACCTACAATATTCTATGTTGGTATGGGGATCTGCCTCATGCACTTGTAACAAATACAGACGTTCAAAATTGTTAATACTAGCTTTACCAAAATTTCTGGAGTGTATTTTGAAGTATAGTCAAAAGGCAGCTAACAGTGGATTTGATAGTTGACATATTTGATCTCACTATTTTGAACTACTTTCTTCTGGGCGCTGCTGTGGATTACCTTCCCTCAAAACAGGTGCTCGGCAGTCTTTCAGCCTTCATCAAGTATTACGTGAATGCAACAAATATTTTGAATTATCTGCAAATAGCAAAGGCACCACTTTGGCATCTGCCTCACATATCTGCCAAGTTTTGCTGAAAGATATTCAGAAGTTTTTCCAGTTGTGTTCGAAACAGAAACCCATCCCTTCCTTTTGAGACTAAGTCCGAATCATTTCCATGGAAACCGAGAGAAAATAATAAATCACAAATATCTGCAAATAGCAAAAGGCACCACTTCAAGATCTGCCTCACATATCTGCCAAGTTTTGCTGAAAGATATAGAGAGGTTTTTGAGTTGTGCTCCGGAAACGAAGCCTACCCCTCACTTTTGGGATTAAGTCCGAATCGTTTCCATGGAAACCGGGAAAAATAAAAATACCAAAAATCTGCAAATAGCAAAAGGCACCACTTAAGGTTCTGTTTCATACATCTACCAAGTTTTGTAGAAAAATATTGAACGGTTCTTGAGTTATGCTCCGGAAACGAAGCCCACCCCTCACTTTTGGGATTAAGTCCGAATCGTTTCCATGGAAACCGAGAAAAATAAAAATACCAAAATTCTGCAAATAGCAAAAGGCACCACTTAAGGTTCTGTTTGATATATCTACCAAATTTTGTTGAAAAATATTATACGGTTTTTGAGTTGTGCTCCGGAAACGAAAGCAATCCTTACTTTTTGAGAGTAAGTCCAAAATGTTTCCATGGAAACTGGGAAAAATAAAAATGCCAAAAATCTGCAAATAGCAAAAGGCACCACTTAAGGTTCTGTTTCATACATCTACCAAGTTTTGTTGAAAAATATTGAACGGTTCTTGAGTTATGCTCGGCTTGAAGCCCACCCCTCACTTTTGGGATTAAGTCCGAATCGTTTCCATGGAAACCGAGGAAAAATAAAAATACCAAAATTCTGCAAATAGCAAAAGGCACCACTTAAGGTTCTGTTTGATATATCTACCAAGTTTTGTTGAAAAATATTATAACGGTTTTGAGTTGTGCTCGGAAACGAAAGCAATCCTTACTTTTTGAGAGTAAGTCCAAAATGTTTCCATGGAAACTGGGAAAAATAAAAATGCCAAAAATCTGCAAATAGCAAAAGGCACCACTTAAGGTTCTGTTTCATACATCTACCAAGTTTTGTAGAAAAATATTGAACGGTTCTTGAGTTATGCTCCGGAAACGAAGCCCACCCCTCACTTTTGGGATTAAGTCCGAATCGTTTCCATGGAAACCGAGAAAAATAAAAATACCAAAAATCTGCAAATAGCAAAAGGCACCACTTAAGGTTCTGTTTGATATATCTACCAAGTCTTGTTGAAAAATATTAAACGGTTCTTGAGTTATGCTCCGGAAACGAAGCCCACCCCTCACTTTTGGGACTAAGTCCGAATCGTTTCCATGGAAACCGGGAAAAATAAAAATGCCAAAAATCTGCAAATAGCAAAAGGCACAACTTTAGGATCTGTTTGATATATCTACCAAGTTTTGTTGTTGAAAATATTGAATGGTTCTTGAGTTATGCTCCGGAAACGAAAGCAATCCTTACTTTTTGAGACTAAGTCCAAAATGTTTCCATGGAAACCGGGAAAAATAAAAATGACAAAAATCTGCAAATACCAAAAGGCACCACTCATGGTTCTGTTTGATATATCTACCAACTTTTGTTGAAAAATATTGAACGGTTCTTGAGTTATGCTCCGAAACAAGCCCACCCCTCACTTTTGGGACTAAGTCCGGATTGTTTCCATGGAAACCGGAAAAATAAAATGCCAAAAATCTGTAAATAGCAAAGGCACCACTTTGGGATCTGTTTGATATATCTACCAAGTTTTGTTGAAAAATATTGAATGGTTCTTGAGTTATGCTCCGGAAACGAAGCCCACCCTTCTTTAAGACTAAGTCCAAAAGCGTTTCCATGGAAACCGAGAAAAATAAAAATGACAATTATCTGTAAATAGCAAAAGGCACCACCTTAGGTTATGTGTTTGACATATCTACCAATTTTGGTTAAAAATATCGAACGGTCATTGAGTTATGGTCCGGAAACAAAATGATTACGGACGGACGGACGGACGGACGGACGGACGGATCGGACGACGGGCCCGGCGACTATATCCCACCGCATTATATGCCGGTGGGATAATGAAAGTAAGTACCATGACGCAATCTTCATGATACATGACACATACTGTGAGTGAGTGAGTTCCGTTTTACGCCGTTTTAAACCATATTCCAGCTATATCACGGCGGAGGACACTAGAAATGGGCTTCACACATTGTACCCATGTGGGGAATTGAACCCGGGTCTTCGGCATGACAAGCAAACGCTTTAACCACTAGGCTACCCCACCGCCCCGACAAATACTGTGACACACTCTTTGTCACACATGATATACACCATATACACATGCTTCTTGACAGAATATAGGCGGAGGGGCAGCCTAATGGTTAAAGCGTTGGCTCGTCAAGCCGAAGACCCGGTTGAATCCCCACATGGGCACAATGTGTGAAGCCCATTTCTGGTGTCCCCCTACCGTGATGTTTGCTGGAATATTGCTAAAAGTGGCGTAAAACCAAACTCAGTCAGTTAGTCAGTCTTGACAGAATAGGAAAAATACTGTGACATACTCTCATAATCTGAAGGTATCTTATACATGTGATCTTTGATGAATGAAATGACTCATTCATGACAAAATTTGGTAAATACAATGACGTGCTCTTCACAATATTTGATATATACCATGACTCATTCTTGACGATATATTTGGTAAATACAATGACACGCTCTTCAATATATTTGATATATACCATGACTCATTCTTGACGATATATTTGGTAAATACAATGACACGCTCTTGAATATATTTGATATATACCATGACTCATTCTTGATGATATATTTGGTAAATACAATGACACGCTCTTGAATATATTTGATATATACCATGACTCATTCTTCATGATATATTTGGTAAATACAATGACACGCTCTTGAATATATTTGATATATACCATGACTCATTCTTGACGAATATTTGGTAAATACAATGACACGGTCTTGAATATATTTGATATATACCATGACACATTCTTGACGAATATTTGATAAATACAATGACACTCTCATCACCATATATGACACATACCCTTTTAGAACTTGGTAGAGTCTCCTCAATGAAGAAGTATATGAAGACAATATCGGATGCTGCCAGGACAAATGCGAAGAGGGCCGGAAATATGTAGAATATTCCCTTTGTCTCGTGCCGCGTCAGCGCCGTAAAGGCTCCACCCACTCCTGGTCCAATGATGAATCCCAACGAGAATGCAATGCCGATCATAGCCTGCAAACAGATGGATACCAAACACATACATAATGTTTGTTTACTTGTTGTTTAATGCTTCACTCAACAATATTCTGGACCAGACAATCCAGTGATTTTCATCATGAGCACTGATCTATACAATTGTCCCTTTTGATGTGACAGTAACGCTCAATCTCTGAATATATATAATTCTGAAAGAAAAACAAATAACTCCATTTAAAATGAACAGGAGCCCCAGAAATGTCAAAGGGTGATGAAATCTACACTAATTTCATTTAAGCTTCAACATTGCAGTAATGGCTTCCCGGAAAGGAAAATAATGTGGTTCAGACTAGAATGACGGATCCCTTTTAAGATTATTCACTTATTTAAGTGAGTGAATGAGTTTAGTTTTTTGCTGCACTCAGCAATATGCCAGCTATATGGTGGCGGTCTGTAAATAATCAAGTCTGAACCAGACAATCCAGTGATCAACAACATGAACATAGATCTACGCAATTGGGATACAATGACATGTGTTAACCAAGTCAGTGAGACTGACCACCCGTTCCGTTAGTCGCCTCTTACGACAAGCATAGGTTACTGAAGATCAATTCTAACCCGGATCTTCACGGGTCCAATAAGTTACAGGACCAAGCAATCAAAGGCAAAGTCACATTCAGAAAATAAATATACCAAAACAAATTTGTTTCTTTTTTGGCAAAAGTTCAATCTTTGATGGATTTCGAAAAAGAGACACCTCTACAATTATCTCTGTAGCAATTAAATGTTCTGGGACTTTTCTTTGAGCCCGTTGGTGGGATCATTGTTACATAGGAAATATAAAAACTTTAAAAAATATATCAGTCCAGGTGAGCTACTGCAACGTAAACTGAGACACGCGAGGCCACATGTGTCATCCAAATTACAATACATTTAGGAACACAAAACAGTATTGACAAAACCACAGTAACTCAATCATTTCTACATCCGTAAAACTATCGTACCAGATCTTCAGAGTCAATAGTGTCAATTGTGTGGGGTATTCACAATGTGTAGCCTTGTATTGAGAAACACAGCTGCTTCAAGCTACATCTGTTTTCTACATCATTACACCACCATCAGGACAATGGTCACCCCTACAATGAACTCAGCGTTGTTATATCTGTGTATAACATCACTTTAACAACACTTACACTAACCCACACTGTTGTTACATCTGTGTATAACATCACTTTAACCACACTTACACTAACCCATACTGTTGTTATATCTGTGTATAACATCACTTTAACCACACTTACACTAACCCACACTGTTGTTATATCTGTGTATAACATCACTTTAACCACACTTACACTAACCCATACTGTTGTTATATCTGTGTATAACATCACTTTAACCACAGTTACACTAACCCACACTGTTGTTATATCTGTGTATAACATCACTTTAACCACAGTTACACTAACCCATACTGTTGTTATATCTGTGTATAACATCACTTTAACCACAGTTACACTAACCCATACTGTTGTTATATCTGTGTATAACATCACTTTAACCACAGTTACACTAACCCATACTGTTGTTATATCTGTGTATAACATCACTTTAACCACAGTTACACTAACCCACACTGTTGTTATATCTGTGTATAACATCACCTTTAACCACACTGTTGTTATATCTGTGTATAACATCACTTTAACCACACACTTAACCCACTGTTGTTATCTGTGTATAACATCACTTTAACCACAGTTGTTATATATATCTGTGTATAACATCACTTTAACCACAGTTACACTAACCCATACTGTTGTTATATCTGTGTATAACATCACATCACTTTACCCATACTGTTGTTATGCATCTGTGTATAACATCACTTTTACACTACACCCATACTGTTGTTATATCTGTGTATAACATCACTTTAACCACAGTTACACTAACCCATACTGTTGTTATATCTGTGTATAACATCACTTTAACCACAGTTACACTAACCCATACTGTTGTTATATCTATATCTGTATAACATCACTTTAACCACACTTACACTAACCCATACTGTTGTTATATCTGTGTATAACATCACTTTAACCACAGTTACACTACTAACCCATACTGTTGTTATATCTGTGTATAACATCACTTTAACCACACTTACACTAACCCATACTGTTGTTATATCTGTGTATAACATCACTTTAACCACACTTACACTAACCCACACTGTTGTTATATCTGTGTATAACATCACTTTAACCACACTTACACTAACCCATACTGTTGTTATATCTGTGTATAACATCACTTTAACCACACTTACACTAACCCATACTGTTGTTATATCTGTGTATAACATCACTTTAACCACACTTACACTAACCCATACTGTTGTTATATCTGTGTATAACATCACTTTAACCACACTTACACTAACCCATACTGTTGTTATATCTGTGTATAACATCACTTTAACCACACTTACACTAACCCATACTGTTGTTATATCTGTGTATAACATCACTTTTACCACAGTTACACTGAACTACAGCGCTATTACACTCGTTTTGAGTCAAAATCTCCCCAATGAATTTCACTTTACTCAAAACAAATAATCATAAATGACTCAAACCAACGCCAATCTGGGGTATCAGATTTTGACTCAAACGGACTGTACATCTGTGCATCACATCACCTTAGACACACTTACACTAACCCTTGTCTTGTTATATAGAGAATCTCACCCTAGTGTCTTTTGATATCAAATATATCACCATGAGTTGCAATTTTTAGTTTGATCAATGAGTGTTGATATATTTGATATCAGAGACACGAGGCTGAGATTCTATTACCATACAAAATCACTTTTCATTAGTTTTCGATGAAAAATGTACATCTCTGAACACGGTACTGCCATTAGACTTGCAGTCCAGCGATGTCATAGCATTGTGACATAATTAAGTTTATGGCATCATAGCATTGTGATGTCATCAGGTTTTTGACGTCATAACATTGTCAGTGATGTAATTGATGACATCAGGGCACTGTACAAAATCTACTGTAAAACAATATCTCCTCGGAGATATCATTTGATCTCACACAAGCAATATCTCCTGGGGAATCGATGATAAATCTGTGTATCACACCACTCTAGACACATTGACAAAAACCCATAGTGTTGTTATATCTGTGTATAACATCAATTTAATGGCTCATATGACGACGACCCTACCATATACTTACTCCTCCAATGTGTATGTCCCTGAAACCCATGAACATCCGGTTAGAATTGATCTTCAGTAACCCATGCTTGTCGTAAGAGGCAACTAAAAGGATCGGGTGGTCAGGCTCGCTGACTTGGTTGACACATGCCATCGTATCCCAATTTGCATAGATCGATGCTCATGCAGTTGATCACTGGATTGTCTGGTCCAGGCTCAATTATTTACAGACCTCCGCCACATAGATGGAATATTGTTGCGTGCAGCGTAAAACTAAACTCACTCACTGTTTGCCCCTGCGGCACAAACCTTCCCTCACTAATGAATGTATCTGTTCCTGTTGTCTTACTCACCATGCCTTTCCCTCTTTTCTCCTTATTGGAGACATCAGCAACGATGGCAGTGCAGAGTCCAATGTTGCCCTTGCTGATGCCGCCGACGGGACGAAGCGAGCGAGGACGAACAATGCAAAATTGTGCGACAACATCCACAGGACGTATGACATGGCCACACCAACCTAGACAACGTGAAAAATATATTTTGCTCAGCCGCACCATCATTTGGCTACAGATGTTATTTTTTGTTTTACAAAAAATATGTCAGGATATGAACTGAATTTAATTTTTAAAAAATTAAATGACTTCAAAATACTAAATGACAATTGAATCATATTTTCAATTGAACACAATCGTAATTTTGTTTTAAATTTGAGGCCGGAGTGTCAACAATGAACTGACAGTGAAATATAGATCTACAAAGGGACATTACTCTGAACCTTTGATGTTTTCATGGTTAATTTCATTAGGCTTCAATGTGCCCCATAAAAATCTCGTGATATTGAAAAACGTGTGCCAAATCATGAATCTGGGCATGATGTCACAGCGACATACCATACACAGCATCATCATGTGGCGCCGGCCGTAGACATCGGAGGCAGCGCCGATAATCGGTGAAGACAGAAACTGAAGGAAGGAGAATAGGGAGCTCACCAATCCTGAAAAACAAAACAACTTGTTACCATGGTTACGTTGTGAGTTGAGAGAGATGCCTTATATAGACAAACACAACACCAGATTTCCATCCGGAAACAACAGCTACAAAACATATGAAGGTCATAGCCATGAGATATCAAAGGTGAAAAACAGACAGTTGCTTAACTTGCACTTTGCACAGGACCACAGAGGACCACACAAAACCACACAAAACAACAAAACGCACTGATCAGCAAGCAATACTGGTAAGTAATGTTCCTCCCCATGGCACATTTAATATTACATCCCTTTTTAATCAATTCTAACAACAAGTCACTAAATCTATTAATACTTTTATAATCCCCATTCCATTGCATAAGCCTGCACCCACTCCCCTTCATCCGCTGTCCCTCCCTCCATCCTAAATGTATATCATGTTAAACATGTTATGGAGGTGATGATGATTTTAAGGGGGTCACCCATTTTGTGCATAAAAATATTGAAAAATTATGCTTAAAAAATTATGGGAAGAGGGTGGGGGTCATTGATTTTGTACATGACATGCAGGGGGTCTTACTTTGTACATAAATTTTAGAGCAGGTCATTCACATTGTACATGCTTCTCCATAAATAGCATCATCACCCCCCCCACACCATTAACACAAATACACAAGGAATAAGCACCCCCACCCCTGACATATTTTCAGGGTTGTCTGAAAAAAAAATCAGTTTCATTTCTTTACAACCCCAATTCAAATATAGCAAAAGAATATAAGTGAGTGAGTGAGTTAATATTTAACATCACATCGGCAATATTTCAGCCATATCGTGACGAGAACATTTGATATTTAAATGACAAAAGAATATAAGACTCTCACCTCCCAGAAATACTGAGTCAGCCGCTTCATCCTTGATTCCGATTAAGGATCGGAAACCTGAAGATGTTTTCCGTAACAGGTTGTACAAGCCACTCTGGAATACGAAAGAGGAATTATTTAAAGGGGAAATGTACACGAATAAATCACATTTATTCTTATGTAAATCAAAGTGAATTTTTTAAATAGTTAATATCAATGTTTGAAAATGTACACTCATTTTTCTTACAATGAAAGTATAACCCTCAAAATAAGTGCTGAAATGTTATGCATCATGAGGTCTTTGTTTGCCGAGCTAAACAGGCCAGAGTTACCACCCTTTGATTATGACGTAATTGGTGCCACTTGATTTGAGACTCCTGTCTAGTCCCAAATCAAAAGACAATAATAATAATAATAATAATAGCATGCTTGTAATGCGCTGTTTTCCATGTACAACATGCTCAAAGCATAAAATAATAATACTGTACTGTGAAAATACAAAAGAAGCATAAGAACAACAAAACGTAAGCATCAGAACTAAACTGATTGATCGTGTGTATTTTCATTCATAACCTCACTTCAATGAAATACCAAATATGTATAACATTGTTGACGTCCGTATGACATCACTATCGGGAAGCAACTTTTTCAAAATGGCGTCTTCACTGACACGAGTATGTCAGATTTTTCAAAGGAAACTTTCGTTGTTTCAAGCAACGTTTATGCATAAATGTGTCAGATGCCTGACTCTGAGGGTGTGGGTTCGAATCCCGGATGGGACTCAACCCAAAAAAGTACTAGAATCTGTACTTTACTAAGAAAGTCTAATCCCAAATATAACATACGTTACATTTGACCACTTTCTAAAATGGCATTGTGTATTTCACACCCCTGGTACAACTGTGAACAATTGGACAGAGTATAACATCGTGAATGCATAGATTGTATTCAGAAAACTGAAAGTAGCATGTAAATAAGTTTCATTTGTGGGCATAGGCAGTTTGAAGATGATATCTCATGAGTAGGCACAACTTTTGAAGAATTGGACAGGAGACACTGTGAATGAAAATATTGTATTGAAAAAATTGAAAATGGCATGCACATAATGTTCAATAACACACAGGCCCTGTTTAGCAATTTCAATGGCTGATGTGAAAATATAGTAGAGACAGAGATTTTATCTACAGAGGCTTGACAAGTATGAGGAAATGTTTACCAAAAATATCTGCTTGATCACACAAACCTGCACACATCCAAAGCACCCTTTTCAACCCTAAGAAATTACAATGTCCACAATTTAAAAACAATTGTGTTTTAAATGTACATTCTTTTGTATGAGAGGGATAACAGGAGTTAAATACATTCCTCTTTCTTTCAACAACTGAATTTTCACAATGGGCATTTATATTACAAATTGAGTTTTGGAGAAAACAATGCATGAAACATGGATATTTGTATTTTTCATATTGCAGTAGTCGTCTCATTAAGTTTTCTTTTGTGAGACTTTTCTGCGTTAAAAATATTCGCTGATCTGTCTACCAAATAATATACTTTTCTTTTATTCTTTTTTTAAATATTAAGAGATCAAATCGATCAAAATATGCTGATATGTCTAAGTCTGACATTGGAAATAGTTTTTGAGTTATGGAGTGTGAGTGTTTCTCAAAAGATCTATTCGGTGATATCCGTGGAAGTACATGTGAACCCCTACAAAAGTCATTGCCAGGACTGGTGGCCGACAACAGTGACAACGACGATCACCATGACGATCCCCAACTTGGATGCATGGAACATAAGTGACTACAAAACAGAATACTGATTCGTGACATTTAGTTAATCCATGTCACGATATCCTGTTGCAATCTTGAAATATACTACAGACATGAATCGACATGTCATAGGCTTTTTGAATCTGTCACTTGCTACCAATTTACACTGCACAATACAAATGGCTGAGTGATTTATGATAGCTGCAGGTGCATGCTCACCAAAGAGGCAGTTTTTAGCTGGGTCATGTGACTTATAACTATGAAGTAAAGTACAGCCAAACCAATAATTCTGCTCGGAACATTATAACAACAACAACAACAATAACAGACATCTATAACGCGTGTATCCATATACAGACAGTTTATGTAAAGAAATGTGAAAACTTTGAATTGTGTTTTACTGGTGTATGTGAGGAGCGGTGGAGAAGCTTACAGCTTGTTCAGCTTGACCTGAGCTGCTCTACATATGCATGACCCGGGGGGTCAAATGGCACAAACGGCTGGTCGAGTTAACTGCATTAAATAGGGGTGCAGAGTATGTTATTGATGTTGCGTTCGTGCGAAACATGCACACATGGATTCGTTACAGCTCGATTCGGCAACATTAAACCATCTGTAGCTTCTTTTATAAAGAAAGTTAGGACACTGCTGACGATTTTTAGACAGAGATGTCAAATGGCGACCTTGTCTCGGCTGTTTGACCATGTTGACAATCATCTGACAAAGGTGCACCCCTTCATAATAATGGACCAAACCAGTTGTGACACGGTCACACAATGTATTAGTATTCACTTGATCAGGTCAAGCTGAACAAGCTGTAGTGGTTAAAGTGGTCGCTCATCACACACAAGACCCAGGTTCGATTCCCCACATGGGTACAAAGTGTGAAGCCCATTTCTGGTGTTCCCTGCCGTGATATTCCTGGAATATTGTTAAAAGCGGCGTAATACCATACTTACTCACTCACTCACTCACTTTGTCACGCGACTAGAGTGAGGTCTTTGGTGGTTCGATCTCGACTAATTCACTAATTGCTAAAAGCCGTGTAAAACCACTTACTGGTGTATGTAATTCAGCTTTGTGATCAGGTTTTCTCGTTTTTACATTGACTCGTCTGCTTTTGGGAAGCTTAATTGAAAGACGATCGAAGATAAAATATATATAATAAATAGAATATTTATTATTTCATGTTGGAATGAATATTCAGGGCACTCCCGAGACAGAAAAAAACATACGGACAGCCTAATTCTAACGTCAACTGCTGTCAAATCAAAGGGAGATAACTTACATTATCATTTTCTCCATAAAATTTCAGCAGCCCCGGGAGCAGTGGTAGGATCACGGTAAAGGCGATGAGATCGAGGAGAAGCATGAGAAACACGCGTGTGTAGACGCGATTCATCCGTTTCTCCTCCTGAGGCGTCATGCTCTGAACGTCGGTGAGGACATCCTTCGAGTTGTTATTGACCTTGGCTGATGCTTTACTGGCCATCGTGGCAGTTTCTGAAATAAAAGATTTTATTATTACTGATAATATACAATATTAATACAAGAAGCATTTTTCTCAAAATATTTTAAACATGTTTCTGATGAGCCTGCCTGCCATTGATGCTCAGGGTGGCCTTTGCAGTTTTTTACAAAAGAAAACATTCAAGAAAATATTGGAAAATAGATTTTTGCCTAAAGTTTTGATAAATATTTACAATTTTTCGACATGATCATGATGAAAGTGGCAGTTAAGTATGAAAATACAGAAAATTTGTATCAAAAACCATGTCAGCTCTTCCAAAAATTTATTTGCACAGGCCTGGACAACTCCTGGATTGAAACTTGGGACGTGAACAAATCTAAAAAGGTCAAGGACATTCAATTTAACATATTTGTACATATTCTTTTCAAGGAACAATATCAGCATACAGAACAAATATCTTTATACAATAGATACAAATCAGCTTTAAACAGGTGAACATCATGTTTAAGTTTACTGCATTTTCGCATGTGTGTGCGGATGAGTGAGTGAGTGAGTTTAGTTTTACGCCACACTCAGCATTATTCCAGTTATATGGCGGCAGTCTGTAAATAATTGAGCTGGACCAGACATTCCAGTGATCAACAGCATGAGCATCGATCTACGCAATTGGGAACCGATGACATGTGTCAACCAAGTCAGCGAGCCTGACCACCGATCACATTAGTCGCCTCTTACAACAAGCATGGGTTACTGAAGGTTCATTCTAACTCAGACCTTCACGGGTCACGGATGAGTGAATCTGCTACTACTAGTGTTGGGAATTGGATAAAATCTCATGATTGATGATTGGTTCATTACAACCGATCAATCATCGAAAATAATTGGTCAGCATCATTTATCAAATTTTTCTGGTTATGTTTGTTACTGCACAAAAAAACAAAGAAAAAACATGTAGTTCTTATGAGTCTTTTTGCAAATTCCACAAAATGCATATGCAAATTTAACATCTTTAAAGGATGACTAGTATGTTAGGAACATAACTTTCCTGGAGTCTTTAAGATAAATTCAATCCTGACTTGGAACGAGCTTGTAATGTTTATGAAATGTAACAGACAAAACCAACCTTGTGAAAAATATTGTAAACGAAAACAAGTGTTCCAGAATTGTTTGTGTTCGATTATGAAAAACATGATCGATTGCTTGGTCGTTTCAGTCATTGCGACCAACCTTCGATTATTTCAATTAATCGGACCACCACTATAGTACTGTCGGAAATAGAAAAAAACTGCATTTTCTCATTTATCTCTACAATTTATGTAGTTGATATGTGAAAGTGTGAAATATCTGTTAAACTAAGTTCGGCCTAACTACAGTCTCGGTGGTAGAGAGATAGGAAACGAACACATTCTGAATACATTTAACATCCTGCCGACAGCCAAGGATGTGTATAGGCTCGCTATTAAAAAAGAAAATGGAGACTGATAATTGTCAAATAAATATTGATTAATTACATATAAATATAGGAGAAGCAACTTTGAGCAAAAATGCCAAAAGTGTCTGAAATTAATAAATAAATACATAAATAAATAAAATACTAATACTAATAATAATAAAATAATAATAATAAATTATTTTTTTAAAATACAATAAATAAATAAATAAATAAATAAATAAATAAATAAATAAAATAAATAAATAAATAAATAAATAAATAAATAAATAAATAAATAAATAAATGGGTTACTAAGAAAACAACTTCTTAATATAATATAGAAGCATCCCATGAATAAAAACCTAACCTTGTGTAATGTGCAAGTAATTTAAAACTTTATTCTATCACAAAAGTATATGTACAGAGTATGAAATAAGCCCCAAACCCAGCCAGACATCAGGGCTCGTAACTTCAAAATGTTACCAGCCCCAAAAGGATTTCACCAGACAAGACAATCCAAAGAAAATAACTCAATTTTGAGTTCCAATGAATAATTTAATGAACCTGAGACATGTATTTACTGTGTAACAGTCCCTTCACAACAGTCATTTTCAGAGAAATCCGACTCCGCGCATCGATAGGTGTCGCTGTTTTAGTGATAATATATGTCAACGCAGTGTATTGAGCTTGTGATACGATAGTTCAATGTTCAAACAGTTGGCAAGTCTGTTGGCAAAAATAGATTTTAAGATATGGTGAATTTATTCAGATGTATTGGAACATGTTACCAAAAATGTTTAACAGACCATTGGGTTGGCTAGCTTTAAATTTAGACCGTCTGTCAGAAATCTAACCCGTCTCTGGCGGTCGGATGGGCCTTATTTCATACACTGATATGTTTGATACTATCGATCACACTACTTTCATATCGATAATCATTAATAATTTGTCCTATCAACGATATTTCCAATTATCGATCTTCTTAGCCTTCCCTAGTACAGACGCTGCATGTACTACAACTCTGCCATCATAGAGTTCCATGTAAATTGATCATAAATTCATATTGCCACATTTCTGCTTTAGGATTCATTAACCACAACACACCATCAATACATACGGCTGCAACAAATCCACAATAAGATTTGGTTTGGTTTACTGCCGCACTCAGCAATATTGCAGCTATATGTCAACGATATGACTGCTGAAGACCAATTCCAACCCGGATCTTCACGGGTTCCACAATAAGGGGAATTTGACGCATATCACAAATACTGGTAAAAAATACGAATGTTGGGTAACGAAATCAGTACAAGTCAGCAGTGGATGTGTTATTTATAATATTCAGTGAAACTATAAATAAAATACATATTTTTTATTCCTAATATATGATGTTAATGATACAGACACACACAAGGTTAAAATTCTCTTTATCATATAATGTCATTCTTAAAATTACTCTAAAAAATATGAAGCAAATTGTTCGTGGATTTATATATGAAGAGAATCGAGTATTCGCGTAAGAATACTTAGCGGTACACCAAGGTGAAGGTCGTTCATGACGGCGGCATATGGTTGTGATTAGTCGCTAATACAGTGCAAGCATAACTCATGCCTAAAATAAGATCTATCTTTCTAAAAAGAACAACAAAATCAGGCAGGGTTTTCCTGGTAGTGTTTCTATTTTCACTGTGGGTAATCACCTCATCAATATCAGTTTCTGATACCTGACGGAACCGATTCCTCGTCTTCTTTTGATCGATGGATCGAAATCCTTGGTTGGTACCTTTCTTAGACAATCGCCTGTCACTCGTGCCTAATAATCAGTACCTTCAATTTGAACAAAGTTCTCCATTTCATGTTTTCCAAAGTCAATTACTGCAGTAACGACTCCAGAACCTCTGTCATCAATTCTTACAGAATCACCAATTTTGATAACAGGGGGCAGCCATGTTTATTTACGAACTCGTCCACGCAATGTAAACTCGCGACGACATCATCAATTAAATGTTAACGTTTTAGGATTCGCATGGCATGTATGGAGTTTTGTGAAAGTAGTTTTTGCGGATTGACGCAACTTGCATAGTTATCAGATTTGGATACCAAGTTTATCAGATTGCTTTATTGCATCGATAACACCCTCCATTAGATGATAACAGAAAATATCATTTGACTTCTTTTGACCATGTTGACAGTGTTAATGTATCACGCCAATGGCCAGTAACCTCATTGCTGTCAAATGAAATATAATTATATATAACAGTGTTGACTGTTGACCTGCCTGGCTTGGATATATTCCGTTTTACATATCTCGCTTTGATAACTAACAGCTAAATTCCATTAAAACCACTCCTTTTTCACAATTCATGAATACTCCATTATAGTAATCATGAAAACAAATTGAACTCTCAAAAGAATGTTCACTGAATATGTGAGTGAATTGTAACAGCTCTATATATGTAACAGATCTATGCATATTGAGTTCCTTCATTAATTAAGAATCCCTGTTGTTGAGAATTGTATATTATGACATGTATATTTCTCTTCAAGGTAGACTGTGGTGGGGTAGCAGGGGTGGAAATAACCCATTGCCCGACGCCCGAGTCAAGCGTTTTTTCTGTCGGGCAAGCAAATTTGTATATCACACTGTACCGGTGTCCAGTTGACTTTCCAATGTTAATTATGTTGTTTATTTAAGGAATCAACAAGACAACGGCCGGTATAGTGGAAAAATCATCAGGGCAAGTGATTTTACATGTGCCACTGTACCGGAGTACACTAGCAATTTTAAAGTTATTTCCACCCCTGGGGTAGCCTTGTGGTTAAAGCGTTCACTCTTAACACCAAAGACCCGAGTTTGATTCCCTACATGGGTACAATGTGTGAAGCCCATATATGGTGTCCCTGACGTGATATTGCTGGAACATTGCTAAAAGCGGAGTGAAACCGTATTCACTCACTTCAAGGTACAAAAGGAGATAACATATTACTCACAGAATTTAAATGATGAAATGAACTTTCTGAACTTCTGTTGATGCCTGATATCAAGTAATGAGCTGAATAGACGGCTGCAAGACTACAGTGAGTGAGTGAGTGAGTGAGTGAGTGAGTGAGTGAGTGAGTGTGAGTGAGTGAGTGAGTGAGTGAGTGAGTGAGTGAGTGAGTGAGTGAGTGAGTGAGAGAGAGAGAGTATGGTTTTATGCCACTTTGAGCAATTTTCCAGCAATATCACGGCAGGGGACACCAGAAATGGGCTTCACACATTATACCCGTGTGGGGAATCGAAACCTGGGTCTTCTGCGTGACGAGCGAACGCTTCAACCACTAGGCTACCCCACCACCCAGCACGACTACAGTAGGTATGTTGCACGATAAATCCTAACAATAAATCTAACCCTCATCAGTTTTAGTACTGTGGCATCTGTCCCGTCAGAACCAGGTTGAGATTTGATTGGTTCCTTGAAACTTGTCACTACACAGCAAAGCAGTAATATCACAGCCGGTACAGCAATATGGTAACTAGTGGTAAAATGTACTCGAAGGGACCACTCCCTTAACCCGTAATAACCAGAGTTTGCTCTACGCATTTTGACTAACATATTTAGAAAGTGTCCGAGAGAAAAATGTACAGTTTGCTATGTCCGTCAGCTTATTATAAGCGTCCTTTTCATCACTGTAGTTCCTTATGCATCCTTAACAAATACAAGTGTCCAAGACAAAAATTATGGGACGCGGTGGGTGAGCTGGCTAAGGTGCCAGGCTAGTGATCCAGCGAGCTTGAGGTGTCGGGATCGAGCCCACCTGTGACCGGGTGTAAAAACCTCGGAGTCAACTTTGTGTGCAGACTCTTTCAGTGTTGTCACTACCCCTAGTGTACAGTACACATCCCTGTGCACTTAAAAGAACCCACGAATCCGTTGGTATATGACCAGATGGTGGCCACATGAATACGTGCAAACACCAAGTTGCGGGTACAGCAACGTGCAGTGAACTTGGACAAAGTACTGTGACTATGTGTCCCAGTCCACCCAGCTGTGAATGGGTACCTCGTTAGGATGAGAAGGCCACAATAACTCGGTGCGCCTAGTGGCTGCAAGAGTTGTATGCTCCCCAGGGAGTTGAGATTGATAACACGATGTGCCGTTGAGACTGACATCCAATGATCGAGGGGAAAAATACCAGCGCCTTGAGCAAGAGCACTAGTTGCCTGGATATCCTATGCGCTATATAAATATCCTATAATAAAACAGTTTGTTTCATTATATCACTGTTATTGACAACAACGATTGTTTACTGTATTGACAACAACCAAAATATTGTATTTTGGATGTAAAGCGATCTATTGAAACATTGATGCGAGGCTTGACAGCTCAAAGTACAAGAACCTGTATCGAACGTCGCACCCATTGTTGTGATTGTTAAACATGTTCTAAAACATAAGAAGTTGTTATCCATATAGTTTGTTCAGTAATGGAGAAGTTGGGTATGTCTGCAAACTTGATACAGTAAAACATCGGGGAAATAGTACATCAGCTGTCAACAGTTTCCCAATTCACCATACTGACATTCCAACAAATATTATCGAAAATATACACATCACTTAACCTCCAAGATTCTTGTAACGGCTGCTGGCACTGTGGTGGCAGCCATACCGTGAACTATCAAAGGTGTCATGTGTTTGGATGGAGCTTAAACACTACCCAACAAGAAAATTATTTTCCTTACAACTATGTGAGCCTTAGAATTAACTGTGAGTACCTACAAAAACAAATTATATGTTGCGCAATAGTCTATACAATCAATAGGGCATGTGTAATCCTATTTTTAAACATGTTCGTCTTAGTTTTAAGCTTAAGAAGGTTTTAATCCCAAATCAGCAAATCTCATTTCACAACGAGCTAGATTTTCAGTTGCAGTTTACACAGTTTCACTCGTCTTTGAGACTGATAATTCCGTCTCAATTTCTGTATCCAAATGATTGAATTGTCAATCTTACTGTGCAGTAACTCTATTCCTTTACCACAAGTCAGTCACATTCACAAAGTATGTCTGTCACTGCATGCAAGAAATATTGTCAAAAGATATATTTATTAGATTTGATTTCTAACACTGCAAGGACTCCAAAAATCATTTTGTACCATTTTCAACAATAACAATTAATTTAACCTACCATGCAAGTTCCAACGCCTAACTGATGCTATAAGACAGGTATTTACATAAGATTTGCAGTACCTAAAGCCATTATGGCTTTTTAACTGAAATTATTTCAGTTAATAATATGAATCCATTTAGTGTTATTGGTATGTACACAGTTCACACGATCACTAAACATGTCAGTTATACTACGTATAACAGCTGCCACTTGTCAGTTTACTTCAGCAATAACTAAATACCTTTAAATCGTTACTGCATAAATGTTTATCAATAACGCTCCCATTCCAATAATCAGCGGATGTGTCGAACAGGGCCATGTTCAAAGCTCGTGTACATACCTGCGTCCGTGACTCGTGGCAAACTATGACTGACTCAAACCACTGCTCGACAACCTGCACTCTGTCACTGCGATATCCCCCGTGGCTAAATGTTTACAAAACACCCGCCCTAAATGTGCCTCCTCATTGAAACACGTCAACCTTTCTCACACAGCATGACACTGCATATCACTTGACTGGAACATCGATTTCTACGATTCCCCGCGTTCTACATACACCCCTCTACAAACTGACGATTGGTCATTAAAATATGACACAATGCTCACAGTTTTAACAAAATCTCGTCAACTTACAAAAAGTTTTATGACTGAGATGATATTCACTCCATGAATGACAATCTCTCTTCCGGCTTTGGAGGTCAGGGGTCACGTGTCAAAGGTTATGTCAAAGGTAAAATGTCGACGCGAGATTTTCACGCGTCGAACAGTTATTGGTGGAGCACGCGGCTTATATATAAGATGTCAACGACTGTTTTTGATATTTTGACAGAGTTCTCTTGAAAACCAAAACAACGTCGATTGTTACTTAATGTTTACGTTCATGCATTACATAAATCAGTGGCTGACAAATCTTGTATAAAATGTTATCAGTAAAAGTATCATCCGATAAATTTGACCTTTGACACTATATGAAGCAAACAGTCTGACTGTACAGTATTATGTGCCTCTCTTCGGTACTGTGATTGTCTCTTCCGAAACTCGTCTGTATATTTGCACCCAAACTACCATATATGCATTTTTGAAATGCTTGATGAAGGCAAACAAATTAGACTCACACTTTGGGTCTGAATACGCAGGCACGCGCGCACACACTCACGCACACATTTGTTTCAATTGCAATTTGTTTTGGGTTTCCCTTTTGGGCGGTCTGAATCGTATGGCCTATGGGTGGAAGGGAACATAATGTGGTTCACGAACCGTAAGACAGACAAGCAAACAATGAATAAAATATTGATTTTACAAGCCTAAAACTAGATCTAGTCAAATAATTCATGATAGTGTCTGTACAAATTCCCATTCTCAGCCCGAGCCGATATGAGAGAGTCGATCCCTACTCAGCAAACCAGCTGTGTCCAAACACGTCAACTCTATTCACTAATATACACTCTACTGATTTTCAACAAATAGCAGCACAGCAAAAATGATTAATGCCATATCTAACGCAATAGACGCCGATAAATGATCGTAACACGTGTACCAGTGGTGTAATTGACATGGCCGTATAGAAACATGGCCGTATAGAACCATACTTCATTAGTTGTTATCGGTAACGATGTGAAGCTGTTGAAAATGTTCATTTAAAATAAATGACAAACCTCCAATATGTTGGACACATGCAGGCTGCCTTATCGGAACGTGAATGTAGCGCTTTCAATATTTCATTAGTTAAAGTATAAACTATACATTTTAAACAATATGTAGTTCAACGTATGGTATATTTGGGATTACACTTTCTTAGTAAAGTACAGATTCTAGTACTTTTTGGGTTGAGTCCCATCCGGGATTTGAACCCACATCCTCAGAGTCAGGCATTGTGTGTTTCATATTTAATATGTAGTTCATCTGCAGTGGGGAATATATTAATAACATAAATGATTGGGGTTGTGTTTCGTGTTTTTACCACGACCACAATCACGACCACTGCTACAACTATCACTTCCACTACCACCACCACCATCATTACTGCCACTACTGCTACCGCCACTACTATCACAACTACTACTACTACCACCACTACTACAGTGTATGAAATAAGTTTGAAAAATAACCAGTCCGAATGTGATAGTTTTTCTATTTAAAGGGCAAAATTAATCAAAAACTTCCAAAAGTTGCCAGCCCAGACCAAAAGTTGCCAGGTTACCTATTTCATACACTGATTACTACTACTACTACTACTACTACTACTACTGACCCGTGAAGGTCCGGATTAGAATGAACCTTCAGTAACCCATGCTTGTAGTAAAAGGCGACTAACGGGATCGGGTGGTCAGACTCGCTGACTTGGTTGACACATGTCATCGGTTCCCAGTTGCGCAGGGCGATGCTCATGCTGTTGATCACTGGATTGTCTGGTCCAGACTCGATTATTTACAGACCGCCACCATATAGCTGGAATATTGCTGAGTGCAGCGCAAAACTACACTCACTCACACACACTACTACCACTGTTGGTGGTTGTTGAAACAATATTCTACCAGACATTAAAGTATTTATGGAAAACAAATTTAATGTTCAAAACTACGGCCTGGTAGCTGCATTGAGTTAGTCTCCTATACACAAACCTAGTTAATGAACAAAATGAGACGTCCATTCAAATAAACAAACACGTTTCAAGCACTTAATACAACTCCACAACATAAACATCCAAATGACAGACTTATATTACAGCCCCATGTTGATTAATAACTAACCCAGAGAAAAGGAAGAGCGTTAATTCATCGATGCGAAACTAACTCAGATAAGGACCCCAGGTGTTCGACGTGATTTTCTCCCAACGATCAATAGCACGCGAAGTGGCGTGAATGGTAGAACGTTAATATTCTTATAATTAACACATATAAAATTCCCTTAAAGATAATTATCGTCGAAGAATTCAATTTATAGAGTCACCTGTAGTTCAGTATTATGTACTGACGTGGACTAAGCTTTAAAACCCAGAGAATCATAAAAACAGTTTTACGTCAATGTGATGTTACGTTATATTTAGAAATATAATAAAAACATAATTTTGTCATTATAAACAGTCAAATTTAAAATATAAAAAATATATCAATGTAATCGTTCTTCATGGTTATTTTCAAGTCTATTTTATGACATGAAATATAGCGGATATGGAGTCATATGTTCGTCGTTTAACAGGATGCAAGCACAAACTCAATAAATAAAGCCGTTCCGCTTGTCAGTGCATAGAGAGGTATACTACAGGCGTTTCAGTGTCATCAGCTGTTACGTTCGATCGCCATCAGCTGTTATATCTAAACTGTATATCTATACTGACACCTGTGATGTGGTCACGGGGACACCTGTATTGTTATGTTGATATGTACAAGCCGGAACTGTCGCTGTTCACACGAATTAGGGGATTCATTTTTCTGTCCTGGTTGGTAGGAGATTTGATTAAATAAATATTGGTTAAATAAGCCTATTTTCGGAATTAATATTCAAAACGCATTGCTAGATGTTTGGAGCAGAACACTATTAAAACAGTACACCGCTGTTAATCCCAGTGAGGGTGGAGAATTAGGTTAGACTGACATTTAGTACCAGAAGTAAAGTTATCTAATTCAAATAAATAATTATAATATGATAAGGGCACTGATGACTGTCACCATATGGCAGCTGTTAAGGAACAGATGGGTCTTGAGGCCAGGTTTAAGGAGTGAGAGAGTGAGTTTAGTTTTACGTCGCACTCAGCAATATTCCAGCTATATGGCGGCGGTCTGTAAATCATCGAGTCTGGACCAGACAATCCAGTGATCAACAGCATGAGCATCGATACAGGTGTAAGGAAACAGTCAAGGAAGGCGCGCATCCGAGGTAAAAGAGAAGAGCGTTCCAAAGCACAGCAGAGCTATAGATGAATGAATGTAAGAATGATTGGATGAATGAATGAATGAATGAATGATAATGTGACATGAACAATTTCGTAATTGCAAGGTGGGACAATCAAGACTTGCCCCTTCATTCTAGACTTGAACTGGCCTCCTTTCATTCTTGAGATCTCCGATTAGGGATGGCACATGACATTTTAACGATTAATTTTAACGTTATTTTAACTGTACATGTACAAAGGCCTGGACGCACGGACATGAGCGCACTGTCCTGCCAGAGTTTTGTCGGTTACATAGTACTATCTTCTGCCCTCTACCCGCGTCTATAAGATACTCTCTACTCAGACCTAAAGTACTGTCGGAAACCGACAAAAACTGTTTTTCGCATTGATATCTACAATTTAACAAATAATATGTTAACGTGTGAAATATCTGTTGACCTAAGTTCGGCCTAACTACAGTCTCAGTGGTAGGGAGATAGGAAACGTAAAAAAAGGACTTTACTGAGGAGAGATTAGTGCAGAAATGAGCGACGAGTCCAAAGCGACTTATTTGGAACAGACCATGGCTTTATGCAAATTAGTGTGCTATGATATTGTATTACAAAGGACACTTTTTAAATGTCCATTTTGACATTAAACTTGGCTTCATTTTAAACGATAGCTGACGTAAGAAATAATAACTTTAATACTGAAACTATGAAGGATGTAGCTACCATGGCGTCTCACTATCACTATAAAAAGAAACCGGTAGGAGGGGTCGTCTCAAAAGCAAATCCATGACGGGTGTCGGTGGTTGGGGTCGGTCTGGGGGATAGAGATATAAGCTGAGATAAGATAACCCTTTAGGGGAATTAAACTGGGAAGCAAACGGCATGTCATAACAATTTACAAATAATATCCGGTCCTGTCGATCTTCGGGTGGGCATGCCAGCTATTTATTTTGAGACATTTAATACGATGGCTGATTTAAGCTTTTACATGGGTATCATACCCTTTTACATATCTGAACATATGAAAGAAAGACACGTAAGATATTAATCACGTAGACATTATTCGACACACAAGAAAAAGCATAAAATATCTTTGTATGACCCATTGTGCTCGTAGGCAGCCGCACGTGCAATTCATGCCAGGTGAGTCGACGGTCCGTCGTCACGACTGAGCGACCTAATGCACGTTTGAGCAGTATTCGTATTCTTCTAAGATTTGCGATTTTACGAGTAAACATTTCTGGATATTCTATTACGCATCCCACTGAATGCCCAATTAGGCCGATGTGGGATTATTTCGACATATGCTACGATACAGAGTAAAAGCCAAATAAACATTTTTAAACAGTACCATAATGACCCCGAATGTTTCATCCAGGACGTAACAACAAATACCATCGTTAACGCTTGCAACCATTGCACCTGAATGGACATTGCAACCCGTGAAGATCCGGGTTAGAATTGGTCTTCAGTAACCCATGCTTGTCGTAAGAGGCGACTTACGGGATCGGGTGGTCAGTCTCGTTGACTTGGTTGACACATGTCATCGTATCCCATTTGCGTAGAACGATGCTCGTGCTGATGATCACTGGATTGTCTGGTCCAGACTCGATTATTTACAGACTGTACCCATATAGATGGAATATTGCTGAGTGAGGCGTAAACAACAGACGAACCAAACATCACCGACAACCTTCTGCAACCTTTAGACGTGAAACTACGCCAGAGTGTGGTCAAAGAGGTTGAGGATCGGATGATAAGGTTCCGGGGAATGCGTTGATAGTTGCTCATGATTTCAATCACTAGTTTTGCCAAGAGTC